GAGTCTTAACAGCCCAATCTGAGAGGTGGCCGCTGATTTGCATGCGCTATCATTTAAAAAATAAAAAAGGGGGAATTTGCCGGAAGCCGGTCCATCCCTTGCTGCTTGACACAGTCGCTGCAGGAAAGAAACATCTGCACAGCATATGTTTCGATGGACCTGGCGTATATAGCATACTGTTCTTAATATGTTTGCTCCCTTTAGCGCCATGTGTTTTAACCAAGGTCACCTCTCTGAGAAAGGTTGTTTCCCCAGGTGGGGATTTTTCCCTGAGGTTAGGGAGGGGATACAACCCCTTAACTAAGTGCCAGGAGGGTAGTTAATCACTTTAACTACAAACAATCACACTTAAGCTACATAATCTTTACTCCCTGGAATGGAGATAAGAAACACCCTAACCTTTGTAATAGAAATTGACAGGATTAAAATCGGCTGGTATAAATATAGATGTAACAAGACAATAAACATCAGATCCTCATCAGTTCCTAACCAGAACTCCGACCAGAACTTTTGCTGGAGATCCTGGCTAGAGGTCCTGACTAGGCTGCTGATCAACTGAAGGCTGTCTTCGTGTCATTCCTTCTTCGCCGACTCTGTCCACACCTTTGGGGACCCCTGGACCCTCTGGGATTGGACCCCAGCAATGGAAAGGTCCCTACACCCGACTCTGTGGTGCTGACGACCCCCACCGCTCTCAAAATAGATAGACGGCGTCACGACCTGGGTCCATCACACCCACGTCTGGTCAGCGGACCCATCCATGATCCGGAAAGACTTCGTCACCAAATGGAGTGTCGATCGAGATCAACACAACCTGCTATGGTGTGCTCAACCTGCCTGATGCTGGTAACATTGCTTGCGATCACTCCTGCTACCAGGAGCCCCCACAATACTGTGTAATAGACTTAGATGATACCTGCATCTTCATGGACATGGCTCCAAAGAGACAAGGACAATTTATATAAAGGCCAAGAATAGACTCTAGTAGAATTTGGCTGCCTAACGCGGCCATGATGCCAATATCATGTTTCATTGTATTGATATGTTATATTGACCTTAAATTCTCTTGCAGGTTTGAATGTGTTCTGGCTGTCCTGGAAGGGAACTATGTGGGGTGACCCCCAAAAGTAAAGGATGGCCAGCTGCCAAGAGGACAGGTGCCCAAATGGGCAGGAACGGTGCCCATCAGGTTTTGATCTCTGTTGAGAGACAGCTAACAGTTGGCAGCCTGTAATACTGTCTTGCAGGCCTTTGTGACCATGCCCATGTCAAGGGTAGTAAGCTGGAAAAGGCCTGTTTAAAATAGAAGATCTAAGGCATGGTTATGCATAGAAAGAAAATTTAATGCCAACAATTACTGTTTTATCAAAAGGAATTGGCAAGAAAAATCAGAAAATCTTAAAGTAGATCAGTATATTTTTCTTCTTGTGTAATTCCTCCAAAATTTGGCAATGCTAACATGGCAATTCATTTCTTTGCATAGATTCAATAAGACCGGTTCCTAATAGTGGTTTTATTAACGGAAAACTTTGACTGGAGTATCATGTTTTAAAGAGCCCTGTCTGAGCTCTAAAGACTTGAAGCCAGTAAGAATGCCACGAAGAAAGCCTGGTATCCTGCTTGGAAGCCCTGAAGATGGCTGGCGCTGGAGCATTAGGCCCATGCCCTACAATCATTGGCGGTTGGTAAGAGTAGAAGGGGAGCAGTAGGGATGCCTCTGCGTTCCTGTGGAACCCCCACACACTCTGGGCCGCAACAAGTAGGAGGGCTACTGAGATGGGCTTAAAGCCTAGAGCATGGGCTCAGGTGGAGTTGCTACAGGTGAGGGCTTCACCTAACTCAGCAGATACTGCAGGCGGGCCTGATGGCAGCTGGGTGGCGTGGCTTCCTGGCCCTACGGGGCACATTAAGATTCAACCATGAGATTCCAGCAAAGGTAGTCAGTTACCATTCTTGTTGTGTTTATGCAAACATCAGGACAGTAGATAAATTAATCTCGATTTGGCTTTTTAATGGCCATGGAGGAATTTTAAGAAGAAAAGTCCTATTTCAATAGAAGTTGTTAAAGCTAAAATGGTTTCTTTCCCCTCCACCAGACCATTTGTTAAGATATGCCCAGTACAGGCCTCTAGCAACTGTGGAATAGAAATGCAGCCCGACTCATGATTGAGCCGGAAGTTCCAAGACAAAGGGGGGAATGAAAGGGTGAAGGATATGCCCTCCCCTCCATCTTGCGTGTATCCTCCATGTTGGGGCCACGTGCGGCCTTCTTCCCGGAAGCCCAGGCCCCTGCTGGCCACGCCCGGGATTTTAAACTAACCAATGACAATCAAGGGAAGTGCGCGCCATAGATATGACCACATCCTGTGTAACAAGACCCGGCTTGCACCTGGCCAATCGGCAGGGCCCACAATCCCCTCGCTCCACCCCCCCTATTAAAACCCGGTGTTTTCCCACGCGAGGGCACTCTGTTCTGGTCGCTGGGCCGGCCGGGAGCAGAGTCGGGTTGGCTAACCCCAAATAAAAGGACCTTCTGCTTTTGCATCGAACTGGCTCCCAGTGTGGTACTTCGGGGATCTTGGAATCTGGGCATAACATGAGTAACCTACTTATTGGCATGGCATCCTTTCATGAAACCAAATTATGTGGGTACATAGACAGTGCAGGGGAACAGCATTCTGCTGGGAGACCACATTTACTCTGTGGGGTTCTTCCAAAGCAGTTCTTGGAGGTGGCCCATAGATCAGAAGCAACGTCTTCTGGATCCAGATCATATATGTGAACAGTGAAACCTTAGTCCTGTCACGGGCAAGAATAAGAACCAAGGACATCACAAAAAGGGCAGCTTTGGAACAAAGGGCTTATGAACATAAAAAATGGCCTCCCGGAACAAATCTTTAATCCACTCCAGTGGGTAAATATTTGTTCAAGTCATTTTCAAGAAAAGGTGAATTTCCTTGTTTGCCAAGGACAGTGTCCTTGGTTTCCTTCTGTCTGCCAGGATTAAGGATCTTTGGAACTAGTTTCCCCACCCAGTTCATTTGATCGCTATATAATCAGAACCAGAGGGATCCAGTGCACACAGCTGGAACCCATCTCCAGGAACAAAGAGCTGGAAACCATCTTCATTTGAAGGGACTCTTCCCGATTTTTGTAAGATTATTACCCCTGGGAAATCTATCGCTGTATTTTTTAAATATATACATTTCTTTAGCCATTTAGCTATTTCAATGAAAGAATTTTTCCCCCTTGAAAGGCTATACGCCCAAATTATGAACTAAGAAAAAATGAAGGAGACTCTAAAGTTTAAAATGAAAGCAGATTTCTTTTGATATTGTGTTTCTATGTGTGTGAGTGTGTGCGTGTATAAAGGGAGATTACTGAGACTGGGAGCAAGTAGAAGTTTAGGAGGAATTCCCGAATTGTGATAAAATCTCCAAAGTCCTGGGAAAGCCATTAGCTGAAGGGCATCTGGATGGCGCCAGGGAACAGGCATTAAATGTGGCAGAGCAAGAAAAGAAACAAAAAGAATGCTTTTAGCTCCATGTTCTTCTTATCACTACTAATTTTTTTACTTAAAAAAAGTTTTGATTGCTCTTTAAGAGCCAAGTGGAAAACATCCAGGAAGGTACACTGGCAGGTTGAAGGGAAGAAAGAAGGAAAAGAGATAAAGAGAGGAATATGCCTTGAGAGTTATGCTTTCACTTTGTGGGATATTGCCCTAGAATATATAAAAGTGTGAAGCTACATGTATGGAAATTAAAACCATAGTTACTTATCATGGTGTGTAAAGTTGGACGAACCTCTTGAATTCAAAACATTGCCTGTGGAGAGAGGAAGAGAATATGAATTCTTGTGTAGATTAAAGGATTGGTTTGAGACAGATGATAAAGTTAGTCTGAAGAACAGTGGGGACATATTTCATCGACAAAAAGCTGACTTAAACGTATGTGCTTGACTATGGAAAGTTATGTGTGAATGAGTTTAATGACCAGATGTGAGGCTCTAAACCCTTGGCCTAGGCATATTCACCTCAGCACCACAAACTATCTGTCTCATACTTGTTTTCTCCCAAATTCATTTTACCTCTTTTGGGGAAATTTAGGATTGAAAATATGAGTGAGCAAGTTGTGAGTGGGGGAGTAGATATTAGATACTGGTGGCGATGCTGTGTACCATCTGGGCTTGGGTTTCTGGATGTCTTAGGAATTCAAGATTACAATAAGCCTGAGAAAAATTTAGCTAACTTCTTACAGAATTAATGTGAAAATTCTGCAAGTTAGAAGCAAAGACTTTCCTTTACCTCACCAGACTGGGATGGAAGGCCTCCAACCTCCAACCAGGAAGTTGCTTTGTAGGATATGAAGCCCCTGTGTGGCATCAGTCTAGGGCCTTAATTAGAGGTGGTCTGTGGACTTAACTAATATGCTGAGCCTTAAGAAATGATACATTTCAGTGAGTTTGGATCACAGGTCTTCTTATCATCTATTTCTTTCACAAGGTGCCTTATGCTATCTACCAACTAAACTTACACAAACTTGTCTCTGTAATTCCACTAGACTTTTGCTAGTAAAACTGGAAAAGATTCTCTTATGCTTAAAGAGACCATGGAATTTCAGATTTTACAATTAGCAACTCTCTCATTCTCTAGATAAACAAACTTAAGCCTTGAGAGGGAAATTAAGTCAATCACTAAAAAAAATAATATGAAGTACAATATTGAGGGTCTACTGTGAGGCAGGCATTTGATTTGAGGTGAGTAATATGGGCTCTGCTCTCCTGTAGTGTATACACCAGTTGGAAACACTGACAAGTAGACAGGTAATACATGGAATACATGGATTAAGGCTTGGAAATTATAACCAAGAAAATTGGAAATAGGTGTATCTTTATTTTGTACTATCTTTGTGGGCAGAGCCTGAACTTTGTAACTTATGCTTTGACACTTGTATCGAATGGGGTATCCCTGGTCTTAATATTTAAGCATAGAGTGTTTAGACAGAAACTCGAGACAAGCCTGGCAGCTCAGACCCCCTTCTTTGAGCAACAATATCCCCACAACCTGTAGAGCACTGGCACATCTTACAAGTAACCCTGGTCTCCACTAGAGCATGGAAAACATTGGCAACATTTCTATCCACCACTGCCACCTAATGACTCTTTTGGCTACTACAGCTCTGGTTCTACTTTCTGATTTTGAACTCTGGATTTCTGGCCCCAGGCAGAGAGGTGTTGACTTGGTGATTCTAAGGTCCTGTTCCATCTTGGGAGCCTGAAATTCTATAATTGCCTTTGACATTAGAAGATGTGGACAAAAGGGGCCACATGCTGACCTGACAAGCTCAGGAGAGGCCTGCATGGCAGTCTTGCAAACTCGGAGACCTAAAGTAACCACAAAGGATGGTCTGAAATTAAACTTTAACTAAAAGCACTAATGGTGGGCAGTTACGTCCTGGGCCAGTATCTTCACTGACAAGGTCAACCTTTACCTTAACTGAGCCTATCTGTCTTTTTGCATCTATGATAACATACCCTTGAAATGTTTGGGTAACTTGTGACTCCCCTTTATCTGGAGCCCCTGGGGCACAACCAGGTGTGCTGGGTCCCAGGACAGATACCACAAATTCCTTCATCATCCTGTTAATTGTTCCTGCACCCACCTAAGTATGTGTCCATCATTTTACTTTTTATCCAATCCCAGGGGTTTCCCTGCTTTGCTTATCCCTCCTCCTTAATCTATCACCAATGAATTTCATGTAACCCACCTATGTTCCTCCTTTTGATTGAAATGTATAAATACAAATGTAACCCCGCCATTCTCCGGAGTACTATCTCAATTCGTTGAGGTTCTACTTCCCAGCCTATGTCGACAGTTTGGCTCAAATAAACTCACAAAAATTCTTTACAGGTTTCAATGGTTTCTTACGTTAACAAAGACAATATTTGTCTGTCGAAGAACAAGAGACCTAAATGAATCCAAATCAATAAAACTTTGATGAGGTCTTCCACCAAACTAGAAAAAGAAAATACAGCCCTAACCGGTTTGCTCAGTGGATAGAGAATCGGCTTGCAGACTGAAAGCTCCCAGGTTCAATTCTGGTCAAGGGCATGTACCTTGGTTGCAGGCACATCCCCAGTGGGGAGTGTGCAGGAGGCAGCTGATCAATGTTTCTAACTCTCTATCCCTCTCCCTTCCTCTCTGTAAAAAATCAATAAAATATATTTAAAAAGAAAACACACCAAGAACACTAAAAAGCACAATGTACATGTAAAGAGCTTGGCAAATGGGGAGCATGGCAGGCCAGCAGCTGTGCTGAAGCAGTGGCCGCGTATGAACACTTGTTATTCTTTTAGGGCTGGCTCTTCCCTCTTCAGTCATGTACCACATTTTTGCTCAAGTCCCAAGAACATGCTTTCACTTGATTCTATTATAAATTATAATTGATGTTCTTAATGGAAATTTTTTCAGCTGCTATTTATTTCAGTATTGTGGAATAACCAAAATTTTTCTTAGTGTATAATTTGATATTCTTCCATGGTGTGCCAAATTTATGTAACATTATTATGAAACAGTCAAAATGTATCACTGCTAAATGATGATGAGAAAGAGTGTTCACTTTGCTCCCTCTCTCACATGCCTTCCCATGAAACCATCAGAACCCTGGATTTACTGGTCTTTCTAGATTTACAGTCATACCCCAAGGGCTGTTTAGTAATACAACAGGCTTGGTGCTAGAACCTGTGGCATTTTTAAATATGTAAAAATATTTGACATAAAAAGATTTATTGATGTACATATAAGAAACGTTCAAAATAAAGATTACTATTTAATTTAATGTACATGAAAATGTACCATTTGTTTTCTTTTATTTAATTCAGTATTTATATGAATCACATCACACTTGAGAATAACTTGAAGGTCAAATTTTTCTTCCATTGTAAAAATTTCTTATTATGTGTGATGATTGCTAAGAAATCATAGCCAATCATAAAGTAAATGAGATGCTCATTCACAAACAATTTGAAAAACAAAATTATAAAAATCAGATTCAAATTTATAGTGAGAAGTCACTTTTATTATTGGATGTGGGAAAACTGACATATATTTGATATAATGTGGGGGAAGATATGACAGTTTTTATAGGCTCTGCATGTTCTTTAAATTTTTATCCAAAGAACTGAAAATATTGTCAGAACCTACCAAATATTTTTCTGGAAACAACAAATATTTTTAAATTCTCAAATCTTCAGATTTCTTAACACATAAAGTTTTTAAAGTTAATATGAAATTTGTTTTCTATTTTGTTATTATCTATACTTGTTTGATTCTATTTTAATAGCTATCATTGAGATAAAATCATACTCCAGGAAGGAGCATTCTATTTACTTGATTGATACGTTTGAGTGTGTGTGACACACTGCCCCTGGGAAGTGAGAGTTCCACAGTTTAGACAGAATACTCTTGAGAGATGATGGCAGCAATCCTCTTCTCTTTCTTATTCTTCTTTGTGGAAGATGTTATAAAATCATTACAGCAAACTATAAAAATGGCTTGATGAAAGTTGTCTTTGTTGTTGTTGTTTTATCACATAGCAACACCATTTACCTATTGTGTAACAGTGTATGTACATTTATTGGGGAAACTAGAAAATATTCTCTGAGAATAATCCACCTTGTTCCTAAGAATAAGCTTGAATTCCTCTTCCTCCAGTCTTCTGTAAAAGTTGACCCAGACCCACTTCCAATCATTGCATCAATTCTTCCATGCTCCTCTCTGTTCTTTTCTAACTAGTATATAATAATTCCACCTTTAGCCACAAACCAACTAATTCTTAGAGAATTGGTTCTGTCTCCCTTCACCTCAGGGCAAAACTGCTCTCAACTGCTCTCCTTATAGCCAGCTGATTTATGGACTTGAATACTTAGAATCTTGTCTTTAACAAACCTCTGATTGACCCTTCCCTGGGCTCAGAAGACCCTCTTTGCCCAGGCCAGTGTGGCTCAGTTGGTTGAGCATCATCCCATGCTCCAAAAGGTTGCCTGTTTGATACCTGGTCAGGGCATGTACCCAGGTTCTGGGTTTATTTTCGGTCTTGGTACATACAGGAGGCAACCAGTAGATGTTTCAGTCTCACGTCAATCTTTCTCTCTCTCTCTCTCTCTCTCTCTCTCTCTCTCTCTCGCTCTCGCTCTCTCTTCCCTTTCTTCCTTTCTCTCTAAAATCAATAAAACATATTTTTTAAAAGTCCATTTTCTTCATAAGCTTCCTCTCTTATTGTCGCATCTCAGTGAACTGGAGCTCCTATTCCTTCCCCATGGATGCTACATCTCCTTTTAGGGAGGACTTGGTATGTCTTAATGCTCTCTGTGTGCCAGGACCTAGCACAGTGCCTTGTACCCAGAGGAGCTTATATAATGTTTTTAATTCAATTAATTAATAAATGGATTAAAGAGTGTGAATGGACATTGCATTCTATGACTGATAGAAAGGTAAGTACTCAGAGTCTTAAGGAATATGAAAGAATGTTTGGGACCCAAAGTTATGTTCAGGAAACATTGATTTTCCAAATGAATGGATTGATAAGAAATGTGAAATTAATGAGGAAGAGAAGAGAAAAGAAAAGATATACTTTAGGTGACTGAGGATACTGGACTCATGATGCCCTGTCACTAGTCCAGCAGGTCCCTGTCCTTTTAGTCTCATTTGCCCTTTTAGCCTAATTTGTCCTACCATACCTTTTGCCCTGGGCAGGAGCCTTGTTGGAAGAGATGATGACGGGCCTGGGTCCCCTGTTGTTGGTCTTCATGCTGGTGCCCTGTCTGACCCCACCGACCCTGGCTCAGGATGTCGACAGGTACAAACACTTCCTGAACCAGCACTATGATCTCAATCCAAGAGGCCGGAATGACGCATACTGTGATACCATGATGAGAAGACGAGGCTTGACTTCACCCTGCAAAGCAAAAAACACCTTTATTCATGGCACCAGTAACAACATCAAGGATGTCTGTGGAGATAAGAATGGAGAGCCTTATAAGGAAAATTTCAGAAGAAGCAAGTCTCCTTTCCAGGTCACTACTTGCAAGCACATAAGAGGGTCCACCCGGCCTCCCTGCCGGTACAGAGCCACACCAGGGTACAGAAGCATTGTTATTGCCTGTGAACATGGCTTACCTGTCCACTTTGATGAGTCCATTTACAGTCCCTAACCAGCAGGCCACTAGCCCAGAGTTGGCTCTGCTCTCTCTTCCTGGCATTTCCCCTACACACTCTAGAACAGGGGTGGCCACATTCATTGCCAGGGGCCCAGAAAATGAGCTGCCTGGATTTTTTGTTTTCTGTTTTACAATATGTTAATAAATAAAAATGTCTCTGATATCAGTAAGAATCAAAGCCTTCTCATCAGTTCTTGTCCTATTGATTTTTCCCACTTTCTCTTCTCAGCTGCCCCCAGAAAGGATGGCATGGAATACAAATGCCTTTTTCCATATCAGTTACTTCCTTCTCAGTCAACAGGGAGGTAGACTTTCCCTTTTTGTGAGTGTAAGGATGTAAATTCATCTTACAGCAGAGCTGGGAAATTCCAGGGCACATGGCTGCTAAGCAGAATTTTCAGGAGGAGCAAATTATTATTGCTGTCAAATAAGTCAATATTACTTTTACAAATGTTAAACTTGGAGAAGTAATGTTTAGAACTAAATACCAACAGATTAATTAAACTTTATCTACCTCTCTCTTAAGTTTTCACTGTTTTAAAGATATATTTCAAACAAAACACAAGGCATATTCATTAATGGATTCAAATCTATCCTCTAAATTCTCTATAAGAGGCAAACTCGGATAAATATTTCAGTATCCCATTATTCCAACATACCTAGATCTTTAAATTTTTTTACTATTTAACCCAGCAAACTTCAAAGTTTTAAGGTACTAAAATACTTTGGAAAACTATATTTAGGCATGTATATATATCATTGAAAAAGCTGTATCAAAACCGTTTATTTTAATTACATCTACTTATTATGTATTAACAACATTGAGATTTTAAGGCCAATTATTTTTATTGAAGACAGTTTCTTGGCAGGTTTTGTAATAGGGATAACTCACTGGCTTTCAGTGGCTTTACTGTGAAAGTACTATTTTATTTTGTTTTCCTTTATAGAAACAGAAGTTTCTCCTCCCCTGCCTGCCTTCACTGCTATTTCTGCAACTTACTGGAGGGTATTTCTACAGAGCTGTTCCACCCAGTGTTATGGGCAAAAATAGAACATTGGGGAGTAGTAATGGTTATGGGAAATATTAATCTGTTAGGCATGATTGCCTAACCAGGACATACCACCTGGCTGGGAATCATATATCCCCTCCCTCCTTGGGATGCAGTACATTCTTATTCAAGAACTGCCCATTATCATGGAAACATTAACCTTGTTGACCAAACAATGGAGTCCCAACCCAGACTACATTGCTTACTTCCCCATGCCCATAATCCCTACTTCCCCATGTGATCTTTGTCTCTATATTCATAAACCAGAGAACAGCAAACCAAAGTCCCCAAAAGATAGAAAGCCAAAATTACATTAGACACACAGACAGAAATCTCACTATCTAAGAGCTCCTGGTGACTGATACCCTGAGAGGGAGAGCAGGAAGAGTACACTCTGACAATCTCTGTCCCATGTTCAGTCTCCACACACATAACTGGGCTTCCCCAAAGCAGGACATGCCCCATCTTTAAACAAATTAAACCAAACAACAAAGAAACACAAAACATCAACAGAAACACTCTTATGCAGGTGCGCACAATGCACTAAAATTTACACCACCGAGTGCCCTGCATTAAAAAACCACGAAGCAGAGCAATATCTCCTGTCCCTGGTCGGGGACTGTCCCTCCCCTGAACCTCAGCATTCTCCCAAATAGACTATTAGGGGAAGAATTATATCTAGGCCTAGAATTTTTGTTTCCCATCCTCGGAAATGCCCTTGTGACTCTGTTCCTGCTCAGTCCCCTGTATTGGAGATGTCTCGCACTGTGCTCAATCCCCCCATTAGATGTCTCGCACTCCCCGAGATCCGTTTGTCCCTCTCTGGCCATTTCCCTTGTGGGAGAACGGAAGAGCAGATCAGAACTCCACACTTGCTTTATGTGTCAGACATTTCCCAGTCACATATACCCAACCTCCAAGGATACCCAACCACCAAGATGGTATTTCCACCTTGGCCCATGCATGAGACTTGCCTGTTTGCTGGGCATGTACCCTCTTTGCATCATTTTCACCACCTTCCAAAGAAAAACAGTCTCGGACTTATCTATGGCCCCTGCAAAGAGACAGGGCCAAGGTAAAGGGCTACCCAAAATTGGGTGGGATGTGTCTACCCTTCAACCAGGGTCCCTCTCTAGTCTGAGCACATAAATCCTAGATGCGCCCCCAAATTTTGAGAAATGGCTCACCTGTCTAAATTTCAAATGATGGACTGGGAAACAGAAACATGGTGAAAATGAGACTTTTAATAACACTCTCGAGAGCCAGTGTCCATCGAACAGCACACAAATGGGGAAGGAAACATAGAGTATTTATTTAGTCCCTCCTTCGGTTCCTCATTGGCTGAGTCCTACGAGGTCACCTGTTTCTTCATACATCGCCTAGGTCAGTGGTTGGCAACCTGCGGCTCGTGAGCCACATGCGGCTCTTGGCCCCTTGAGTGTGGCTCTTCCTAAGCCTTAGGAGTACCCTAATTAAGTTAAAAACAATGTACCTACCTATATAGTTTAAGTTTAAAAAATTTGGCTCTCAAAAGAAATTTCAATCATTGTACTGTTGATATTTGGTTCTGTTGACTAATGAGTTTGCCAACCACAGGTTTAGGGGAATCTTCTTGGAAAATGTGTTATCAGCCATGTGCACAGCTCTCATACCTTCTCCCCACTGCCCACATTCTGTTTGCTCTAAGGTATTCAGTAACTGCCTGGCCACATGATGTTTCTTTTCTATAAATTTTGAATCAGAGGCATGTTTCTTACACTGAGCACCTACCATATACCTGGCATTATGATAAGTACTTAACATTTGTTTTATCATTTATTTGTCCTAAGATCCCTAGGTGAAAGGTATTGTTATACTCACTTACTTAAGAGTAATAATGCTGAGAGAGGTTAGGTAATTTCCCCAAGATCATATAGTCAAAGTGGCAGAGCTAGTTCTTTGGGATCACAGTATCAAAAGAAGTTCTTATTGAGAATCAGTGTGGTAGAGTGGAGAGAGTCTTTGGGGCAAGTTCTGACCAAAAAGTATGTGTTGGGATGGTTTGGGGATCATTTCATTTTCTGTTGAAGCTACAGCCTTAAGATACAATCATTGATGTCTACATTGGACTTCTGTTGGCAAATATTTGTTGATGTCTTGTTAAATTAGTTCGTTATCGTGGCTGATGCTCTGGGTTTGCTCTTTCATGAATAGTTTAGGTCTTCTCCGTAGCCAATTAGCTTTCTAAATCAGTAGAGGCCCGGTGCACAAAATTCGTGCATGGCAGGGGGGGATGTCCCTTAGCCCAGCCTGCACCCTCTCCCATCTGGGACCCCTCAGGTGATGTCCGACTGCCGGTTTAGGCCTGATCCTAAACCAGCAGTTGGACATCCCTCTCGCAATCTGGGACGACTGGCTCCTAACCACTTGCCTATCTGCCTGCCTGATTGCCCCTAACCACCTCTGCCTGCTAGCCTGATGCCCCTAAC